TTAAATAACTATTATACTAAAACACAAGCTGATGGTAAGTATGCTTTGACTTCTAATTTAAATAACTATTATACTAAAACACAAGCTGATGGTAAGTATGCTTTGACTTCTAATTTAAATAACTATTATACTAAAACACAAGCTGATGGTAAGTATGCTTTGACTTCTAATTTAACTAACTATTATACAAAGAATGAGATTGATAGCAGAGTAAATGGTAAAGTAGTACACCATAGCAATCAATTAAATTATAAAAATTTTAATACCCGACAAAATATTATCAGAATTTATTTTAAAATTTTAAATTTATTGAATTTACACTTTTATTAATAAATCCATCTGATAACTCTAAAACAATTAAATTAGATATTATGGTAGATAAGATTAAAAAAAAATTTATCATTAAAGTAACAAATGATAATGAAAAAAAGATAGTTAATGCATTACTAGATTTATATCACGTATACTGTGTTGATGATAAAGATAATAATATTTTATTAATTATTGAACCAACAAAATCTTCAGTTTCACTAGGTTATGATGAATGGAAAAGAAAATGGCTGGCAGCATTTAATGGATTAACCAAAATTCAAGTTTATTCACAACATCAATCTACATTATCTATGTCATTTAATGGTTTTTCACAAAATTTTAGGGCTACTATAGAAGATAATATTCTATCAACTAAAAAATTTGTAAATGATGAAATCGAAAAATTAAAAAAATTTATTAAAAATAACTATCAAGCTAAAACTTAAGATGAAGAATAATCCTCATGTTTGACTACATATCACATAACTGTTTGTAATAAGTAATTAATACAAAAGCGATATACAAAAAGATTCAAAATCCTGAAACAATTATTAAAAACACTTTTTACAAAAATTATATAACACTCGCTTGACAGACAAATTAAAAAACATATAGATTCCATAGTTTTGTAAAACATTGTATTATACATGCGCTGATGAAATGTGCTATCTACATTAAACAACCATTGTTGAAAAACATACACTAAGACACGCGCCTGACAGACAGATTAAAAAACATATAGATTTCATAGTTTTGTAAAGAGCATCTATGACATTGTTGCGCTCAAAATTTCAGGCTTAGTTGCCTGAAATTCTTCGCCCGACACAACGATTTAAAAAGATGCTTTATTAACACTTGATTATTAACACTTGATTATTAAAGAATATTTCTACCACGCGCTGAGTTTTCAGACCATTGTTAAAGGCCACTAGTTAATCCAATATACCAGTCGACTATAAAGCTCGCTGCTACTGATATTTTAATAACGCTTGATTATTAACACTTGATTATTAACACTTGATTATTAACACTTGATTTTTGAAGAGCATTTTTTAAGCCTCTGTTATTCTCGAATTCTTCGAATTCTCGAATCAATGGGAGGACCAATTTTCACTTCGTGAAAATTTTCCCATCGTCGCCTAGAATTTGATGAGGCTCCATCCCTGCTCGAGCACGAAGTGCTCTGCGCTGAGCCCCATCAAAACCAATGCTTTATTAACATTTGTTTGTAAAGACCGTTTTTAAAACATATAGATTCCATATTTTGAAATAATGACTTTTTTACATGGCCTTTTACTGAGGGACGCCTTTGAAACATGGCCTTTTTCACACTGCTTTGAAATAACGATTTTTTGCACAGCTTTTTTACATGACCTTTTACCATAGGGACGTCTTTATACCATGGTCCTAATTTACGCTTTTATACCCACGTGTGTAGTAGTAATATACATGGGGGATTCGAATACATAAAAAGTAAACTTTTTATGGCTTCGAACCCCCATGTATATTACTACTGAAGTTACCTTCGTTAATTAACAATATAGCCCGGGAAAAAGGGTTAGATGGCCAAAATTATAAATGTAATAGTTGTTCCAGACCAATTGGAATGAGTATGATCAGTCAATTCTCGACTTGTTATTTCCATAATAACTCAAATATATTTATTTTCAAATATCTTAGCTTATTAAATCTTATCTTTCTAGAAACTATTATAACAAAGCACATAATCTCTTTTTTCCATGAAGCCCATGGATGCTTTCGTTCATGATGAAAGAGTCATATTGTATAAGTAGGTTCGCGTTTATCACGAGAGAGTTATGAGAAAGTTACATTGTAAAAGGTAAAAAGTAAAAAAGGTATAAACATGCTTAGAGTTTGTTTAAATTATAATTCAAAAAGGCAGAAGTTGTTTGAACCTTTGAAGTATCCTTGGACGTTCTAGTTTCTTTTATGAGAAGAATTCTTGTAAAGGAAAAGACAAATTTTGAAAACAAAAAAATCCCGTTTTCGGTCCGTGCCTCCTGATACCCGTGATAGTTGAGCGCTAGAGCGTCGCATGTTAACTAAGGGAACCACATAATCCTTGTTTGTTTGCCATGAAGCATATGGATGGTTTGCTCGTGATACATGAGAAACAGTAAATGGGAGAGTTAAATCAGAAAGATATAAAGCGATGAAAATGGTATAAAACATGTTTAAGGTTGTTTTTAATTATAAGTGTCAGATAAAGACAGGGTCATAAGAAGTTAATTGAAACATTGCATGGTTTTTTTTATGAGAGGAAAACAAAAAGACAAAATTCGAAAGCAAAAAAACCCCGTTTTCGGTCCATGCTTCCCGATACCTCCTTAAGCTCAAGGCACTAGAACGCCGCATGTTAACGTTTCGGTAGGAGATTTCGGCCCCTCCACGCTATCCTACTTGGGAGATGCCAATAGCAAGCTTCCGCCCATCAGAGCCTGAGATCACCTGCGATAGCCTTTGCTCAGGGTACGCAGGGAGAGTGCGGTCACCACCGAAGTGTGGGCCCCTAAGCCACTGCATACTATATCGCACAGAGCTTCCACTGCTAGTTGACATCTACTATATGAAGTTTTAGCTTTATATATATATATACCAAAATTTAAAGGCGTACGAAAGTTGTGGGATGATTGTTATCGTTACTGCGCATGCGCAGATGATTTCTTTGATAATTTGCGACTAAGTGAGTTAATTGACACAAATGTAGTGCAAATACGTATAGTTGGTCGTTGTCATGACTATGAACAACTACTCGAGTGGACTGCGCATGCTCGAGCGCATGCGCAGATGATTTCTCTATTAAATTGTTACTAAGCATGCTATTTCAAAATTGGTGCTAGTAGATGCAGGTTGTTGTTGCCATGACCATGAACTTGAGTAGCTGGTCAAGTTGACTGCGCATGCTCAAGCAGACTGCGCATGCGCAGATGGTTTGTGTTAAAACTTGTGACTGAGCGAGCTAATTACTCGAAAGTCGGTACTAGTACATCCAGTTGCTCGTTACCATGAGCTTGGAGAGTTTGATAAGGACTTGTAGTACGTATTCCATGTATGGATATATATTGCACAATCCATAAGAGCAAATACACGACGCTAAAGCGAAATACATGACGATAAAGAGCAAATACACGACGTTAGCAACAACAAAAAGTCAAAATGGCTGCTCGAGGGAGTCATTCGATTTCTGAGCGACATCCATCTGTGTACTTTTATAATGAAACTTGTACTCCTCTTATTGTACGTTGTGGTCGAAATGACTGTGGCGCTGAAAAATGCAATGGAGAGATGTATCATTGTCCTTTGTGTCCTCCTGAAAAATTTTCAAAAGAAATTCCATCAAGAGTAAAAGAACACTTTAAAAGCGTCCACTGGGAAAACAGGATTCATGAATTTGAAGGTAAAATGTGCTTATTTCTGCGTAGGTTTAATACATAACCCACGTCAATGAGCGAAACGCACAAAGAACTTTGGATTAAATCAGTATTGATTAAATCATGAAGAATTTAGGTAATTTTAATAAATAATTTGAGAAATTGGGTTTAGACTTATAAAATATTTAGTTTTCTAAACTGCATCATCACAGCTGAAGATAGGTACTCTCAATTATAAATGAAAACCACATGCTTTTAACAGAAACTAACTTTGTGCTGTGCTATTTCCCTAAAATAGAAAAGCATTATTAACCTATCTTATATTTATTGAATATCATTTGATTGTATACTCATCTAGTTAATATTGTATTCGTCTCACTATATATCTATAATATCCTGTCATTTCCATATTCTTTCTTTACTATTTCTTGTTTTTTTTATGTAAGGTTTTGACATTCTGAGGTGTAAGCTGTCATGTACTTTTGCATCCAAACGACATGGCTCAGATGTCAAGCATTTCAAAGATGTTTCGCACTATCACTGTTTTGGATGTAATTCTGGATTCAAGCATCGCAATGAAGCAATTCGACATATAAGAAGTGCACATGATTTACAGCTTTCTGTTGTAGAGTTTGGTTCGGGGAAACAACAACAATGTTCTCAAAGTCAACTTTCTCCACATAAAGTAGCCCAATAGCAAGTACCTCAAAACCTACCATTTGAGCAGCAAAAGTATCAAACTCAGTTCCCTCAAGTTCAGCAGCATCAGCTGGAGCACCAAGTGACCACTCAGCATCTCACACAGCTGCAAACACAGCAACAACGACAGTGGCATCCCTCTGTTGTTGGCACCACCCCACCAATTGATGATGAAATTGGTGAAGATTTAAGTTTACCAGAACCAGAAGATAATGCTGTTGAAGACGTTCTACTTGAAAATCAAAATCAAATTTCCCTATCTGGCAGCCTTTTTTATCCTCCTTCTGGAGATGTGGCTGCAAAGTCTGTTGAATACCTGTTTGCTGAAAAGAAAATCCCTTCACACATTCCTTTGACATTAACTTTGGAAAAGGAACAATTTGCTAAAAGGTAACTGTTTATTTAAATCGAACAAAGCAACCTTTTATTATTGCATTGTCTTCACTCCAACGAAAATATTCTCCAACGGTTTAGTTCCTTATTGAAAATGACATTCTTTCCATTAACTAAAACAGCAAAAAGATTTATTGTTTGTATTGACATTGTCTTGTCTCCTAGTTACCTTCCTGTAGAAACCATCTGTTTTATTGTAAATCACCACTAACTGAGCCACACTGTGTAACAAGAAATGCAAAGTTGGTAACTATGAAAGGGATTATTGAAGGTTTGTCATTAATATGAAACAGCGTGTATATATCATCGATTTAAATCTCGAACTTTAGATAAGACATTGAGTTGAAGATAAACCCAAAATGTACAGTTACACATTTTATGGATTGTTTTGTATAGTTACCAGAGTGCTCAAACCTATAACGGTGAGCTTTGCATAGGGCGAAAGCGTTGAACGTGTCATATGGACTCTCTACGTAGTCTGTGGAAAATGCTTAAACTATGCATGAGCAGAAAGCGTATTATACAATGTATACATATATGTGTGTGTATCTTTTTCTTTGTTCTTCCAGGAATTTCGCTGTTTGCAAAGTTTTGTGTCGAGTGCAAGATACCGTACAGATACCAGGAGTATTCAGCTGGTGTTCACAATTTTAATGACAACTGGCTTTTAAGTTTGGGAATATGTGATATGATCAGAAAACATCTTCAGGTATGTTATTTTTAAAGCATTTAAGAACCACTTGTCACTATTCCTTCCTCTCTTTTTCTCTTGATGTAAATTTTTTTAACTGGGTGATGGCCTTAACCAAACTGTGCATCATCCATATTGTACCACCCACTCCCAATTTTGCATGTTGATAGTTAAGAAAAACAAGGAAGGGATATTAATAACCAGGTATGCATGCTATAAATGAGCATGTATTGTATGAAAAATATAGGTTCACAACGCTGTCAGTCGCACTGTTGAGGCAATTGAAAACTGGCTGCAGTTGCGACCATTTCAGTTACCACGTGGTCAAATGATGAACGCGTATCTTCACTTTGAAGCTCTCTCAGATCATGACTATGGGTTTTCTTGTGTTTTGTGTGGACACTTTCCTCCCCTGTTAACTCTAGATGTAGACAAGAAAGGAATCTTTGAACTAGCGGGTAAATTTGACTGATAATTTGGCAAACTTTTTTTATGAGTGGTTTTTGTTACATACTTTTACATTGTCATTTTTTAGGTTTGTTGACTTGAATTTTGATTTTGTTAACTTGTATTCATTTGCATTGTAGTTAGTGAACTTCAGTTGCCAGACCCCGAATCCGATGCTCCTGCAGATGAAGTGGACGCTGAAAAGTACTGGCAACAAGTGAACTGTGGGATCTTATACAGAGGAGTATTGAGAGGTACGTACGTGCTACAATGTTTATGTACTCACTGCACGTGAAAGTTTAACGTTTTTTCTTACATAATTTATTTTTGGTTTATTTTGTTTACAAATCCGGTTTATTTTGTTTACAAATCCTTATGATTGATTTGTTTGATGTGCACGTAGCGTATACACCATCTGGTGTGTTTGAATTATGATAATGCTTGTAGTTTTTCAATTGTTTGTAGGTACTGAAAAAACCCTTTAGAAATCAAGCCTTCATATAAGTTTTGGGCCCCATATATTGGCCCAAAATGCAGAAGAGGAAGGAAACTTTTTTAATACCGAATACATGAAAGCGTATCATAAACAAAACCTAACATCAGCTGGGGCTACATCTGATGAATGTTCAATTGAAAAGCTCATGGATTTGTTCTGTGAAGGAAAAGTGCGTATTGCTATTAATTATTAGGCTGTGTAGAAACTTTTGGGATGAGTTGGTTTACATAAAAGTCATTCTCTGTGTACTTTTTAGGTACCTGTTATAAGAGAAATGGCCAGAAGTTTAAATGTGAGCGACAAGGGGTCGAAACTTGGTATAATTAACCGTATAAAATCTGTTTTGAATATCGAAGAAACGTTTCTTAAACTTTTCTCAAAGATGTGGGGTCGTTCAGGTAAGGTTAACTTGAAATTGTTTCACAAAGACGACGATTTTCGTAAAGCATTATGTATTGTGCTTCTTACCTTTATTCCTACCTACATACGTTCTATACATTAATCTTTTGTGGATATTGGTGTGTTAGCTTACAAAAAATTCATCAATTGGTTTCCTTTTTCGGGCAAAATGTTCAGGTTCAATTCCTGTCTGATGACGTATGTGAGTTAGATATAACAAAAACATCATAGTTTTGTACTTTTATGTGTTAAATTTGTTGATATATTGAGTGCACATTGTGTGAGAAGACAGCAAACTTAGCAAATTCATTATTATAATTTCAAATGGATAAATAATTTTTATTTTTGGCACAGGCGGTTGGTTGGGAATGACGTGTCCACATGGAGTATGCTATGGTCTGAAATGGCTATTGCGACAAGAAGGACCACGAGATCATGTGGACATGCTTATGAATCTCGCTGCTGTTCCGAATGTTACCATATTGGATATGGCAAACATGATTGTAGCTCATGCAAGGAACAGAGGATACGACGTTTTCATCCATTCCAAGGTCGTGTTGCTGAATATAGCCTGGAAAATATCAGACGAGCTAATAGTGGTGAGCTAGAGATAGACTGGCCTTGGTTTCCAAACGGAGAAAGATGCGACTTGTCAATTGTCGTACAAAGGTCGGATGGTGAGCAGCTTCTGTGTAATCCCTCAACTAGATCTTCTGATCATTACTGCCTGTTTGATCAATTTCACGAGAAAAATTCCACGAACCCAGCCGATTGCTTGCGAAGAGTGTCTTGCGTTAACCAACTTGCCGGGAAGATCAATTCAGAAACTGCTGAACAACTCAACAACAGACAAAACCGTGATAATTACTTCACAACATCTTTGACAGCTCACAATTCCGTCTTCATGGAGCGATTGGCAACTCATTTTAGTAATGAGAAATTAAACCAACGTATCATAAATACTCATCGCAAGCAGGTAAGTGAGTGTTTTATTCTTTATTTTTAATGGAGTCTAAGTGATGTTGCCTTTTCCAGTTGCCGGAATAATCTTTTAAAATGTATGAAATCTTCTGTCTCTTCACAGTTTGGAATGGCTATGAGTTTTAACTCCTTCGGTCAACTTATAAGTAGAAATGAAGATGATGGGACCGAGCAGGCATCACAACCAAAACGCGTCCGTTTGTCGACTGAAAGTCTTTCAACAGCTAACAGACCTGCCACAAGTAGCACTGGAACACTAAATGATGCTTGTGATGAGTTGACACACGTTGCTGAGAAAATGAATCCCTCAGCTACAAGCAGCTACGACCTTGTTATAGACTAGTTGTGACCTCGTCAGTCGTCATCAAAGCTTAAGTGATATTTGACATAAAAGCTCAATTTCTGTTTGGTTGTTCACAGCTTGGCAAAGAACATTGTAACAAGTCGAATTCCAAAGTCGAATTCCATTACCATCTGTAGATCTAATTTCAATATATATACTTATTCATATAGAACTGATGTCCAATGCCTGAACAATAAATTCAAATTTCTTTCAAGCATTTCATCAAATTTTCTCAAATTCTTATATAATTCATAAAACATCTAATTATACCTAATGTGAAAATTTTATGTAAAATAAAGACGTCCTTCGATGTGAACTGATATGCTTATACTATATTATATACTATATATAGTATACAATATGCCAATGCCTAAATAGAATCTTAAGTTCTTTGAAGCATTTCATCAAATTTTCTCAAATTCTTATATAATTCATAAAACTTCTAATTATGCCTGATGTGAAAATTTTATATAAAATAAAGACGTCCTTCGAGGTGAACTGATATCCTTATACTATATTATATACTATATATAGTATACAAAGTGTATAACAATGTGCCCTCCCGGCTATAGTATATATAGTATATATACATACTATATATAGTATATATACATACGTATAGATAGCCAATGCCTAAATAGAATCTTAAGTTCTTTGAAGCATTTCATCAAATTTTCTCAAATTCTTATATAATTCATAAAACTTCTAATTATGCCTAAAGTGAAAATTTTATGTAAAATAAAGACGTCCTTGGATGTGAACTGATATCGTTATACTATATTATATACTATATATAGTATACATACGTATAGATAGCCAATGCCTAAATAGAATCTTAAGTTCTTTGAAGCATTTCATCAAATTTTCTCAAATTCTTATATAATTCATAAAACTTCTAATTATGCCTAAAGTGAAAATTTTATGTAAAATAAAGACGTCCTTCGATGTGAACTGATATCTTTATACTATACGTTATACTATATATATAGTGTATACATAAACAATTTTTTGCGCATTGCTGTAACCTTTTAAAATGAGCACTACAGGAATCGAATCCATATACTAGAAACAGCTAGCAAACCATTATGCTCGTTTAAAGGACAACGACAAACTTTTTCTGTTTTTCCATCAAATTTTATCACGTTATTGATTGTTCTTAGTCTCCTCGATTGATCACAAACGCAAACTACTGCAAAATACAAATAGCTGATATTAATGTTCGAGGCATATAAGAATATTATCCCAATTTTAACGCAACCTGGGCACATTCACTTCTTCATTCAGGCCATGCAGTAAAACTTATTTTAAATGACAATTTTTCCCAGAACTGTTTCACCCCCCGAATTATAGGTCCCAAAGAAATTATGGATTTATCCACACTTGTTTTGAAAGGGATACGTTGCTCTAGTTTGGGTGAGATGTCAGTGAGCACTTGTTGCTGTAGAATCTCAAGTTTTTCTGTTGAATTCTGTTACCTTTTCATGGTGATTAAGAGAATACTGGAAGAGTGCTCCATCAAACACTCAACGATATTAGTAGAACATCTAAAACATTCAGATGCATTAGACGATAAACGTTCGACACAAAGAATAGCACAAACAACCTTAAACAAGTTTTATATCAATTTTATCGGTTTATATCTTTCTGATTTAACTCTCCCATTTACTGTTTCTCATGTATCAGGAGCAAACCATCCATATGTTTCATGGAAAACAAACAAGGATTATGTGGTTCCCTTAGTTAACATGCGACGCTCTAGTGCTCAACCATCTCGGGGTATCGGCAGGCATCAACCGAAAACGGGATTGTTTGATTTCCAAAATTTGTCTTTTTTTTACAAGAATTCTTCTCATAAAAAAAACTAGAACGTCCAAGGATACTTCAAAGGCTCAAAAAATTTCTGCCTTTTTGAACTTTAACTTAAGCAAACACTAAGCATGTTTATACGTTTTTTACTTATTACCTTTTACAACGTAACTTTCTCATAACTCTCTCGTGATGAACGAGAGCCTCCTTATACAATATGAATCTTTCATCATAATGAACGCATCCATGGGCTTCACGGAAAAAAGGGATTATGTACTTTGTTATAATAGTTTCTACAAAGGATAATATTTATTAAGCTAAGAAATTTGAAAATAAATATATTGGAGTTATTAGCAAATAACAAGTCGAGAATTCATTGATCATACTCATTCCAATTGGTCTGGAAGAACAATGGCATTTATAATTTTGACCATTCAACACTTTATCAAGGGCTTTATTGTTAATTAACGACAGTAACTTCATACGTCGTTCTTGCTGAACACCTTCAGGTGAAGTAGGATCATCAATAATCTGTTATATATAAAAACATAATTTATCCATAGAATTATAGCAAAGTTACGAAGGACAGATGAGAGTTATTTACGCTATAAAATTTAAATTCAGTATATCGTATAAAGTACCTCAAATCCCGACGATTTCTCGTATCGAAAGGATTCTAAAGTAAAGATGAAAATTAAGATGAGAAATTTCGAAGAATTGAAACTAGAGAATTTTTCAACAAAAAAATGTTGAAAATACCTGTACTACCACAAGATTCTTCAATGTCTATGCTCTAAAATAATAGTCATAAAAACGACAATTTCAAAAAACATAAAAAAACTAAGTATTTGTAACATTGGTGAAAGATACAGGATAAACATGAAACATCCTCAGACGACGATGGAACGAGACCATAACCATTTGATGTGAGCTTCTTCCTAACAACGTTTGCGTAATCCGTTAGCATACCATGAAAACTAACTTCTGGTTTAGGTGACGCTTTGCTAGCAACCTCCTCAACGTCTTCAGGACATTTAACGTATACTGAACTGGTTTTAAAAGGCTCAATGACGATGACCAACCACTGGCCATACCTAACATGTTACCACGAGAGATCTTTCTTGGGTAGATCAAGGTTTTAGGAACTTCAGACAAGGGTTGTGTTGAGCTGAGAACTAAAAAAGAACAAATATGGATAGATGATGAAGTGGAGAACAGAAATAGAGGTTATAGAAGACACACTACGTATGCTCAATGGTGTTTCACAAGAGTATACATTACAGGATAACTATGGCTCCAACTAATCTAAACAACTAGGTACATTTAAGCAATCCATCTTTCCCATGGTAAACACACGTGTCAAAAAAACGTGATCAAATTACAAAATTCGTGCAATCAAATAGTCGGACATGGTATTGTATTTGTAGAAGAGAGCCAATAAAATAAAAAGATTCTCTTGGGGCATTTGTAAATATTAGTTTAGAAATACAGATCGACTAATTATAAAGGCAGAAGATGTAAGAGTGAATAAAAACCATTTCCCGTCAAATTAAAGAAAGCTTGGATATGACATGCAATATGCAGGTATAAAGTTGTAGAGAAAAATGAAAAACATTTTTAACGTTGTCACGGATATTACGAGTGCCGTAACAAAGTGTTGACGAGTTTCAAATGCATTTGTCAAAACAAGCTTAAGTAGACAAAGAGCATGGCAAAAATATATGATGGAAAACTTGCTCAACTTGCTTCAGCTTGCCCTCATCTACAAGCAAAAATTTCAGAGCTCGCTCTGTCACAAATTAATTTAGAATCTGAGCATGCGTTGTCAACTCCACAAACTCTCCAAGCTCATGGTAACGACCAACTGGATGTACTAGTACCGATTATGGAGTAATTAGCTCTCTCAGTCACACGTTTTAAGACAAATCATCTGCGCATGCGCAGTAACGACAACAATCATCCCACAACTTTCGTACGCCTTTAAATTTTGGTATATATATATAAATCTAAAACTTCATATAGTAGATTTCAACTAGCAATGGAAGCTGGGTGCGATATAGTATGCAGTGGCTTAGGGGCCCTCACTTCGGTGGCGACCGCACTCTCCCTGCATACCCTGACCAAAGCCTATCGCAGGTGATCTCAGGGTCTGATGGGCGGAAGCTTGCTATTGGCATCTCCCAAGTAGGATAGCGTGGAGGGGCCGAAATCTCCTACCGAAACGTTAACATGCGGCGTTCTAGTGCCTTGCGCTTAAGAAAGTATCGGAAGCATGAATCTAAAACAGGTTTTTTTGCTTTCGAATTTTATCTTTTTGTTTTCTTCTCATAAAACAAACCAAGCAATGTTTCAATTAACTTCTTATGACCCTGTCTGACATTTATAAATAAAGACAACCTTAAACAAGTTTTATACCAATTTTATCGGTTTATATCTTTCTGATTCAACTCTCCCATTTACTGTTTCTATGTATAACGAGCAAACCATCCATATGTTTCATGGAAAACAAACAAGGATTATGTGGTTCCCTTAGTTAACATGCGACGCTCTAGTGCTCAACTATCTCGGGGTATCGGGAGGAATGGACTTAAAACGGGATTCTTTGGTTTTCAAAATTTATCTTTTTCTTCACAAGAATTCTTCTCATAAAAAAAACTAGAACGTCCAAGGATACTTCAAAGGTTCAAAAAATTTCTGCCTTTTTGAACTTTAACTTAAACAAACACTAAGCATGTTTATACGTTTTTTTACTTATTACCTTTTACAACGCAAATTTCTCATAACTCTCTCGTGATGAACGAGAGACTCATTACACAATATGACTCTTTCATCATGAACGAACGCATCCATGGGCTTCAAGAAAAAAGGGATTATGTACTTCGTTATAATAGTTTCTACAAAGGATAATATTTATTAAGCTAAGAAATTTGAAAATATATATATTTGAGTTATTGCAAATAACAAGTCGAGAATTCATTGATCATACTCATTCCAATTGGTCTGGAACAACCATGACATTTAAAATTTTGACCATTCAACCCTTTATCAAGGGCTATATTGTTAATTAACGACAGTAACTTCATACGTCGTTCTTGCTGAACACCTTCAGGTGAAGTAGGATCATCAATAATCTGTTATATATAAAAACATAATTTATCCATAGAATTATAGCAAATTTACGATGGAGAGATGAGAGTTAATTACGCTATAAAACTTAAATTCAGTATATCGTATAAA